TTTCCAATTGTAGTAGTTGTAAACTAACAAAGTTCTCAACCTTACCATTTCATTAAAGTACTTCAATTTCGCTTGCTCTGTTGAACTTGCGCATTCTAATGTGTAGGGACCTTTTTCTGTACCCACTAAAGGGGTTCTAAATATTATGTTTCTTTTATTGATTACACTTGTTATACTTGAGTTTATCTCATGAAACGTAGGTCTGACTATCTTAATGTTACTCTTGTGAAAACCAATATTTCACTATCATAAAGTGTTTTCGTTGTGATTTGGGGGTGAATACACTTCTAACAACTTTTCTTATATACTTGCTTCAAATGAGACTTTACATTAGATCTCTTGTACTGAGAATCATCTTGTTCTAATTCTTTTGCTTCTTTTGTTACTTCTATTTGTTGTCTTTTTTAACCTTTGTCTTTAAAGAGGTTGTTTATGATCCACTTTGGAGGGATGCTATGGCTGAAGACCTTGCTGCTCTACATCAAAGTCACACATGAGATTTGGTACTGTTACCATCTGGAAAATGTATCATTGACTCTTGTTGGGTCTATAAGATTAAACTAAATTTGGTGGATCGATTGAACAATACAAGATTCGACTTGTTGCTAAAGGTCACTCTCAGTGTTGGGATCAAACCAACAATATCAATGGTCTTCGCGCCCATGGCGGGGGCTGCGCGGAGGGTGCGACCCTCTTTGGAGAGTGGCGCAGCCACCATGAAGCGGGTCATGCAAATGGGTGCAATCCTCGTTGGAGGGAGGCGCATCCATGATAGCCACGCCCATTGAGTGCTTTTGGGGAGACATGGTCGCACCTAAAGCGGGGGCCGCACAGAGGCGCAGCCCTTCAGAGCTGCCCCAACGGTGGGTTAATCTCTATCTTAATTAAATTTTAAAGGAAAATATCTACCTTAAGCAAAATCATATATATAAATTAAATCACATCACATAAATATTTTAAGTAAAGGGTTATATTGACTTTTATACATAATTAAGCACCTCCCCTGGTTGAAGGATGCATACATTAAAAAATAATAATAATAAAACATAACTAAATGAGAGAGCATAAGCGAGATATTATTGTTTGTTAACCCTACGCCCTATGTTTGAAGATAATCGAGGTAAATTAAATTAATGCTCCTCGATTTCTCCCATTTTCTCTCTATTCTCCCTTCCTCTCGTAATTCATTTTACCTTTTCTTTTGAATTGGTTTGTCATTTTCCCTCTCCCTTATTCCCTCCTCTCCCTGTAATTTTTTTTTACTGAAATTGTGACTCTTCTCCCTCCTTCCTCCTCTCGCTCCTTCTCTCCTCCCCTCCCCTCCCTCACTGTAATTTTTTTATTAATAAACTTCGTGACTTTCTTTTCCATCTTTTTATTCTCTCCGGGTTGTAAAGAAATGAGAGAGGTCATTTGAACCAATTCCAATAGAGAACCTTGCATCCTTTAGTTGTCAAAAGAAAGGAGCTGGAAACGCAGAGGTACATAAGATGTGTTGGGAAGAAACTATTGTCATTATGCGCAAAGACTTCCATGATGATTGGTGAAGAATTTTAGAGATTCAACACATACTGTACTCTTTTATTATCAATCATTTCCATGTGGATAATGCTCTTCCTCGAAAATAGCGAAACTTCTAACTTTAGAGCTAGAATCTTGGAATCCTTGATATCACGGTCGGATTGGTTAACTCCCTCATACGGTGGCTAGGTGAAGGTGAGAAACATCTCACTGCATCTATGGAGTGTTGCAACTTTTAAGGCTATTGGAAACACTTTGGGATGTTTTTTGGACTATTCAACTGGTAACTTCATGCCTCCTTGACTATTGGGAAATGTTGATAAAATCTAAGAAAATTATTGTGGCTTTAGTGGAAACCATACTTGAAAATGGTTTTCAGCCCTTCTAAGCTCAAGTGGTTTCTTTGGAAAATAGCAACTTTCTGATCAAAAAATCCATTGGAGCTCAGGGAGGTTTTTCGCCAGAGGTAGCTAGGGATTTTTACAAAGGTTCGAGAAAATGGCATAGATAACCTGAAAAGGTTTATAGTTTGCTTAAATGACTTCAATTACAAAAATAGACTAAACTGACCCAATTTATTATCTGGATTATAATATTGAAGGAGTAAATTACTATTTTAGTCTCAATCTGGAACGCAAATAAGAAGTCGCAATTTCCCTTTTTTTTTTTTTTAATATTTTCATTCGTATATTAGTCTAGGTTGAGGCTAAGAATCGTATATTCATTTCCCCCTTTTACATTATAATACCACGACCTCAATCTGGAACGTGCGTGATGGAATTAACACGACGATGGTTCGATGATTGTTAGTCTGACCATGGCCGTGAACCATAAACCACGATTGTTAGCTGACCATGGCCGTGGAAAATAGGACCACAGACTTGGTGTTCATGAAGACAAGCAATGCGCTAGGTTTGATCGTGGTTCTTGTTAACTGACCATGGCCGTGAAAAATAGGACCACGACCGTGGTGTTCATGAAGACAACCAATGAGCTGGGGTTGACTGTGGTTAAATTGGTTAATTTACCATGGGCTTGAAATTTACGACCACGGCCGTGAATGAAATGACAATTATACCCCTCAATTGAAATTGTAACCGTTGGTATCCTCTCATTTCATCTTCGTTTCTTTTCTTCTGTTTTCGTTTTCGTGTTCCCCATCCGATTTACTCTGCTTCTCAGTTTCACTCTATACTGGTTTTTGCAATTTCGTGCTCCGAATCGCTTCCTATATCTGAAACGTTGAGGTTAGCACATTTTTTTTGGTATTTGCGTCCCTTTTATGGCAAGAAAAGAGTTTTTTTTTGTACTCATATTTGCTATTTTTTTCGTCTTTCATTCCTTCAATGGCCGCCTATTTAGTATTTGTGGTACTTCTAGGGCTCGAAATCGGGTTTTGGTTTCTGATTTGATGTCTTTCTTTCTCTGCGCGGTTATGGTTGAAATTTTTATTTAGGGCCTTAGGGTTTATGTTTTCTGCTGTAGAAGTCATTCAAATTTTATCCTTCTGTTTTAGGGTTTTCGGCAATGAAAGAAGGAGGGTTTATGGGTTTCAAAATTTTGGTTGAACCACGGCCACGAAGGAAGTATTGATTCTAGGCAAATTAATGGGCTCGTTAAGGACCGTGGTTGAACCAAAATTTCAAAAACGAAGAGCCTCCTTCGAATGATAGTAGTTTATGTTCTCTGTCCAATTTCACGGTCGTACCACGGCCATGGTCGTGCCCGAGAATTTCGACAAATTCAATATCATCGTACCACGGTCATGGTAAGCCCGTGAATTTGGACAAAATATGTGTTTCCTTCCTCTTCTTTTATTATTTTCATTTGTTCCTATCTTTGTTTGGGTTTTGGCTTGTTGAATAATAAGTTTTGTATATATCATATTTGTTTTTCAGGTTTATAAGATGGAAATGGTACCTAAGATTCCTCCTTCTAACTATCGTTCAGCTAGTTTGACCTGCCTATCCCACGTAGGGAGCACGGTGAAGGCTATTAAGAGTAAACTAACCCCTATGCAACTTAGTATGTTTAGGAAGACAATTTTCGGCCATTTGCTAGATGTAGAGCTCGTACTTAATGGGCCACTTATACATAAACTATTGCTTAGGGAGTTGGAGGATAATAGAGCAGACGTAATTATTATGAACGTACTTGGTAATAGAGTTTCCTTTGGATTTAGTGAATTTTGTCTAATCACGGGCCTAAAATATAGTAGGCGGCCGATTCGTAAGGACACTTCTCCTAAGAGGCTTAGGAAGTTGTATTTCAATGATAAAGTCGATATTTTACTAAGTGAGTTCGAGACGAAGTACATGGAGATGCGGTTCGAGGATGACATTTATGCGGTCAAGGTATCAATGTTATTATTGGTGGAGCTTGTCTTGTTTGGGAGGGATAGGACTTTGAAACTGGATAATAACCTCTAAGGGGTTGTTGATGATCTAGAGGTGTGCTATAATTACGATTGGGCTGAGCTTGTCTTGAGGAAGACATATAGTTTGTACGGTTTCCCCTGGGTATTGTAGGTATTTGCATTGATTGTTTTAGTTTTACTTTATATTATATTCTGTTCACTTTATGTGATGTTGTTATACGTGGTGTGATATATATATATACATATATATGTGATATATATATATACATATATACATATACATATATATATATACATATATACATATACATATATATATATATACATATATACATATACATATATATATATATACATATATACATATACATATATACATATACATATATATATATATACATATATACATATACATATATATATATATACATATATACATATATATACATACATATACATATACATATATATATATACATATATACATATATATACATACATATACATATACATATATATATATATATGCCTTTTATTTAATAGTCGTACTGGTTACAAAATTTTCTTAGATGAACGGACGGTGTCTATGCATGCATGCAATCTCATAGCACCATTGCTTCGACGGTTGCGACCGACTATGATTGGGAAGAAAGAGCGAGGATTATGCTCAGCTACATCGATGGTACTCACTCGGACTACGAGAAGCGCTAGATGGATGTCGATGTCATTTATCTACCATATAACATCGGTGGAGTGCACTGGGTAATGATATGCATTGACGTCGAAGAGGGTGAGCTCATCGTGTGGGACTCCTTCATGTCCATGACACCACTATCCAAGTTGGAAGTAGAGCTGAAGCCGATGGTCACTATTATACCAGTACTTATTTGCAGAGCCGGTGTTCATCTAAACAAGCCGAATATACCACTCACGCCATGGCGCGCATCAGTACCCTAGCAGGACATGGGCGGTGATTGCAGTATATTTTGTGTCAAATTTTTTGAGTACGATTCGACTGCCTCTTCCTTTGATACCCAAACACAGACTAGGATGTCATTGTTTAGGCGGCAATTTGTCGTTCAGCTTTGGGCTAACAAAACAATCATTTGAATAGTACTTTTGTAATAGTTATGAAGTATGTTTTGTATAGTTCAACGTTGTTATTATTATTGTACGACCATTTTTTAATCGTATACAGTTGAATGCATTTCTGAACCATTGCTATTGATTTACTGGATTTGGAGGTTGTTAAGATAAACAGAGGTACAGGTTGATAGACATCGTCCTTGAACTTGTCTTTCAGGTTCATAGACAAGTGTTGCATGCATATTCCATGAGCCGCTTGTGGAAAGACCTGCCTAACAGATTTCGTAATGCACACATGTCGATCAGATACGAATAATAACTCATCGACCTCTCCAATACACGTCTTGACCATGTTCAGAAACCAAGTCCAGGATTGACCACTCTCTTGATCGACAATTCCAAAGGCAAGAGGATATATTTGATTGTTGCCATCAACAGAAGAAGCAATAAGGATAACACCTCTATATTTACCTTTGAAATGTGCACCATCTATCACCAGCACAGGGCGGATACAACTGGAGAACCCTCTAATACAGCAACCGAGGGCCATGAACGCGTACTTAAAATATTTATCTTCCTCCAGCTCCACTTCAAAAACAGTGCCTACATTAACAGCCTTCAATGCTTCACCATATTTGCGTAACAAAGTATATGAATGCTTTGGTGACCCCATAAGCAGATTCAAGGCAACATTCTTGGCCCCCCATGCCTTTTCATATCTAATGTTCATCCCATAGTTCTTTTGCATGTCGTTAATAATGTCTTTAAGTCTGTACTGACGGCTGACATCCTCCAGATTGGACTTCACTAACTGACCAACCACTGAACTTCGAGCTTGCCTGTGAGTCACCACCTCGGATACTCTTCGCACGCAAACCCATTTGTAACCTTGTTCGGTACATCCAACAGTGTACAATGTCTTCGTCGATTTTTTAACCTTAAATTCAAAATTCAGCTTTATAGCTAGCACAGATAACTTGAAGCGTAGTTCTTCCTTCGAACGGAAAATACTTTTAACAGCAATTTCACCTACGTAGTTGGACTCATTGCCAGTTATGATATTCTGCATTTGATGTGAAACAGCTTCTTCAATTGTTTGACAAGGTGCGTTCCCCATTAACTGTATAGGACTCATGAACATGTTGACCTTCATTCTCATAATGTTCGTCAAGCACATCCTCGGTATGATATTCATCCTCCTCCCTATTGTCATACTCATTCCCATCATCGTCCTCAACCCCATCCTTGGTATGATATTCGTCATAATCATACTCATCATCACTCTGAAATTCGTTCTCAACCTCGTTCTCGTACAGTTGACCATAATATGGAGATTCGTCGTCGTCTAGGTTACATGGGACAACGTTATCAGCGAATGGTGTAATCTATGGGACAAATGAGGGGAGACCAAAATCATCCAGAGGAGAGTCAATAGAAATAGAATGGCAAAAACATGTATCATTTTGCCCTGGTTAGTATGGGAATGAAGACGATGTATGGGTTTCAAAAAATTATTTCCTCTCCTGCTCCCACTACCATATGATGCTTTAGGTACGACGGTTACGTACAAGGGTACTTATGACGGATCGGGAATACCATTCAAATAGAATCTCAAACTGCTGTCATCAAATATTAGATAGTTCGGGACTTCGTACCAAAAATCAAATCTATATACACACTGTACAATAAGATCAAATTGGTCAGGATCGTTTCTAGTAAGCATGTGCAAGACACTTACTAGGTTGGCATATGTTATCGTTTCATCAACATTTAGCCCACCCATGACGCCACCTTCATACACCGTACCAGCCTTGTTCCACTTGCCACCATAGATCACAAATAGTCGACGTATCCTGCATGGAGAATAATAATAACACACAAGTAATAAGTAATCAAAGTCACAATGATCGTGTTAGTTTTAGTCATGACCATAATATAAAGCACAAACACGAGTGGGGGCACATAATCGAACATTAAAGGACCACGGCCGAGGGAACATACAACCATGGCCCTTAATCAAACATTAGAGGACCACAACCCTGGGAACATGTCACAACGACCATGAAACAGACGACAAGCACCACGGCTAAGGGAATTTGCAACCACGACCATGAATCAAACACTAAAGGACCACGACCAAGGAACATGCTACCACGACCATTAATCAGACGATTAAGAACCACGGCCGAGGTAACATGTTACCATGGCCATTAATCACACAACCACGGCCGTGGTTTCAAACACCCCGTTCAAGAATCGAACAAAATGGACCATGGCCGTGAGCCGATTAAGGTTATCTAGATGCAATCGACCTAAAACCACGTTGTTAATCATAAAACCATTGACCACAACCATTAAACAAATAAACACGGCCATGAATCATTGACTTACGTAACTTCTTTTGCCCACAAAAATACTGATAAAAATTCAGAAATTCCATTTACTCCAACTAAATACATCACATTCAGGACGAATCGAAAACAATATTATGAACCAATAAAAAACTAACCTTGCTCAAAGTGTCGGAGATGAAAAATTGACTTCCTTTAATGGATTCAAGATGTGAAAAATGTTGGAAAATGTATGAAAGTTCTTCAAAACCATGTGAAAGATGTGCTTCTGGACAATACGGACTGAAACATACTTTTATTCTCTACAATCGGTGAGAATGTGTGGGTATATAATAAATGATAGTACAAAAATTAGGTGGAGAATTATTAAGTTGGTGGTACTTTAATAAATTCATGGCCATGAATCAAGTGGAACTCGCCCATGGTTTTAATTACACCAATCTACGTGATTCCGTGCCAGATTTGTTGTAGTTCAATTAATTTGAGGGTATATTCGTAATTACAAACTCTCTAAAATGTCAGAAAAGTGAAAATTGGGTCAGTTGAGTCAATTTTTATAATTTAGGTCATTTAAGCAAACTAGAAAATATTTCAGGTCAGTTGAGTCAATTTTCCGTCAAGGACGAGGTTTTAATCTAGTAGACATTTGGAGAGTCTAAGAATGGCAAAATTATTCGATGGTCAAAATTAGATACGCACAAATTTCAGATAATCAACCCACTTTTGGCACCTTGAAAATTTTGAAAGAAGAGAGAACAAGTTCTTTTAGGATCAAGATAAGGACTCCATGAGCCCCACTTGTCAATTGAAACTTTTGCAGATAGATGCCTCTTCAAAAATTCCCCCTACGTTGACTTAGAGCACATAGTTCTGCCCTAAGGCTGCAGAAAGACACAAAGGTGAAAGGAAAATAGGTTTATTTTTCTAAGACCAATCACACTTAATTTTTTAAGGAAAAAGAAAATTGTGGTTCCACATATAAGAACAAAGAGGAGGGAAAGGGCATAGAAAGAGACATTGACGCAGCCTCTAAATGCCCTTTGATAAGCCTTAATAGTAAAAATAATGATAAGTGTGTAGAAAAAACTCCTTTAGAAGCTTTTTAAGGAGATATTCCAAACTTTTGTTATCATTGTTTTAGAGAAAAGATCCATGAAGATCCAGAATTCAACGACAAGCAGAAAGTAATTGTCGCCTCTCTTCCTCATGAAGAACCACCCTTAGATAGAACGGTTGTTGTTGCTAAAGGGTTCAGTGTTAAAACAATCTGTTCAAATTAATCGACTTTTGAAGATAAGGAAGAATCCCCTTTATTGCAGCAATATAATGGGCTAAATTGAGTGCAAATGAGTGAGTCCTAGAAATAAAAGCTCACAAAAATGAGGAATTAAGTGAGGAATAGAAAAAATTATTTATGAGATTCTTGTTCTACTAATTGTGAATAAATTATAGCTTATCTCTACTGTTGTTGAGCTGTTTTTTTGCAAAATTTGGAAATATTGGAAGCAAGCATAAGGAATTGATAGGAATTTCAAATGCTAGAGCATCCAATGTTGGAGCATTGCTTGCTGCAAACATATCTGGGCAATGTAGTAACTTTTCATTTCATGTGGAAATTCCCATGTTCGTATAAATATGGTGAGTTGCCCTAAAATCAATGAGCAATATAAAAGCTCTTTAGGTCTCAACCACCACAACGGATCCCAAAGGGGTACGTAGCCCAAGAAGTCGAATTAAGACAAAGGAGGGAACCTTCTATTTTTGGGAGCTGAAGCTGACGGGGGAGATATCTTGCTTGCTGGTTTTCGAGCACAGCTGGAGTCTCTTGCGTGGATTTTAGTATTCTTTGCCAAAATAGGTTGTCTCTCTCTTTTACCTATGATGTATTTCCTCACCCCATGAACTAAACCTCATTTCAGAGGGGATTTCTTGTTGTATTCTATAAACAATAGCATTGTAGTTCGAGTCTAAGTTGATAAATGAGTTGCTCTTCTTCTTTCATCTCTCTGAATTTTTTGGTCATCATTTTCAAATTGCTTGCTCTTTTATGACTTGGAAGAGTATATGAGCATATTAAACTCTATTTATATAGTTAGTCTACTATTTTTTAGTAGGTTGTGAATGCTTAGGAATGAGATTCACCTAACTAAGCTTAATAAATTATTTAAATGTTCGATTAAAGAAACAAAAGTTGTGGAAAATCGTGTTTGGGTATCTCGAAAAAGAACCAAGTCTGTTTTGGCTTCAATTGAATTCGTTGCTAGATTGTCTACTATGAACAAAGAACTGTAGTGGGCGATCTCCCCTGTCCCATTTACCGTTAGTGTATCCCTTCTTGCGTTTGCATTCCTTGTCCCAGCATTTCTTATCATATTTTAATCGTCTTTGCTATTACTTGTATTTTGTTATTGATTTGTGTTATTCTGTAGTTAATATCATTATTATTATTAGTTTGGTCCGACTGGTATTCTTAAGCATATTTCGTAGTAATTGCTCAGTCCCTGGAGAGTTTGACCTTGTTTGTGCTACAATCGATAATATAGTGTACACTTGCACTTGGTTTATCGTGATTGTGTGAGCCTGCAATAATGGTAAAGTCCCTCAAGAAGTGGAATATGTGTATTAGGCCTATATAAAATAAAGGTAGCACTGCGACAAGAAAAAATCTAAAGAAATCACCAACGACCGTCTCTCGAAAAAGAAGTTGATGAAGAAGAGTCTGATTTAGAAGAGGGCCTGATGGTGACTCCATGAAATTTGTCTCTTGAAACGCTAGAGGTTTCTGAGCCCCTTCCTAAAAAGCTCTAGTTAAAACTGTGATTTCTAAAATTAGTATGGATTTGGTTATTCTTCCGAAGACAAAACTAGGAGGTTACTGTAAAAATCAACATACCTAGAATTGAAACTGATTACTAAGAACAGAGAAGAAATATAACAATTAGAAGCAACACCAAGGTTAAAGTGGTTCTACCAATTTGGTGTACATCCACTATCCAAATAGATCTTCATGCCTTTATTCAAATGGCATAAGAACACTACATCAAGAACACCCACCATGCAAGAATCACACCCTCACAAACTCGAGAATGCTCCCTCTCCCTCTCTCATTCAACCTTTCACCTCACTCACTTTGTTTTCTCTCAACCCAGATAATTCTAGAAGGTTACAATATTGATACCCATGTAAATACACGATTAATGGAGAGAAAAATGAGCTGGACCGAAAATAAATGAACTGGAGAATAATCACTGAGCTAGAACTCTTGCATTATGAATGACCCATGTACTTGATGACGTGTCAAATATCCACAAATCACCCTCATGACACTTCAGCAACTACAAAACCAGAAAAGGCTCAGAAAATCTGTACATGGATTTAATACACAAATAACACCTCAGCGAACACCTATCTTTAATAGGCTGCACAAATACAACATCCTTGCATTAGGCAATGATTTGGTAAACATATCAGCAAGGTTGTCCACATATTGAATTTTCTTCAACATAACCTGTTTAGCAGATAAAACTTCTCTAACATAATGATACTTTGTATCAATATGTTTAGTTCGATCATGAAATGTCTAATTTTTAGTTAAAGCAAGTGCACTTTGACTATCACAATATACACTTGGAAGTACTTCAAAACCAAGCAAATCACTAACTAAACCAGATAACCAAACAGCCTCCTTAACTGCATCAGTTATAGCTATATATTCTGATTTCGTTGTTGACAATGCAACAACAGATTGAAGTGTAGACCTCCAGCTAATGGCATTACCAAAAAGAGTAAAAACATACCCGAATGTAGATCTTCTCTTATCAAGATCTGCTGCAAAATCTGCATCAACAAATCCCTTTCGAATTTCAGAACATTCATCAGATTTAGAATAAACCAAACCATGTCTCTGACTTGACTTTAGAAACCTCAGCACCCATTTACAGCTTCCCGGTGAGTTTTTCCTAGATTACTCATAAATCAACTCACAATACCTGCTGCAAGAAAGCAATGTCAGGCCGAGTGCAAATCATCTCATACATCAAACTTCCCACAACATTTGAGTATAGAACCAAAGACATCTGCTTTAACCTTATTTTCAATCTTTGGTGACTGATTCTTCGACAAACGAAAATGTTGAGCAAGTGGTATTTTAACACCTTTGGCTTTTTCCATATTAAAACGATGAACAACCTTCCCTAAATAATCACCTTGACTTAAAAACAATGTCTTCTTAACTCGATTCCTCAGTATTTCCATTTCAAGAATTTTTTCTGCATACCCAAGGTCCTTCATCTCGAATTCATGGCTCAGTAACTTCTTTAGAATCTCAATTTGTGAAGATTGTTGGGAAGCTATTAACATATCGTCTACATATAGCAAAGGATAAACTGAAACTCCTTTAGATACTTCCTTAATTTTAAGCCAATTGTCAAACATGCTCTTCGAAAATTGCTCTTTGTCATGAAACTATCAAAACCCATATACCATTGGCGAGGTGATTGTTTCAAGCCATATAGAGAACGTTTCAGAAGATATACTTGATTTTTCTTACCTTTTTGAACAAATCCAAGGGTTGATGCATATATATCTTTTCTTCTAAGTCTCCATGAGAAAAGCTGTGGTAACATCTATTTGCTCAAGCTCAAGGTTAAATTGAACTACCAATGACAAAAGTATTCAAATTGGAGTATAACGTACCATTGGGGAAAAAATCTCATTGCAGTCAACTCCTTGTTGTTGAGTCAATCCCTTGGTCACCAACCTAGCTTTATATCTAGGTTTCTCCCCTTTTATTCCTGGTTTAACTCGAAAAATCCAACGACAATCTACCAATTTTTGTTCTCCTGGTTTATCTACAAGTATCCAAGTTCCATTTTTATTCAAAGAGGACATCTCATATTCATAGCTTCTAACCATAAATGTTTATCAACACTGTTAACTGCTTCCTCATAAGAGTTAGGCTCTGTTTCATTTAATCTCTCACCCAACTCTTCTTCACAATTTAAAGAATACATGACCACATCTGCTTTATAGCGTGTAGGAGGTCTAATTGTCCACCTTTCCCTGTCCCTTGTAAGTTGATAATTTGCCAAAGAACATTGTACCTCTTGATGAGTCATAGTAACACTCACATCAGGCTCTCTATTATCACTTGGTGAGGGTGAGAATGAAGAAGTAGGCTGAGAACTCCTCATATTCTGTTCACCAGAATTTGGATCAATATTATCACCAGAACCATTTAATTCACTATCATCAGTTGTTGTACCTGAGGAAGAAGCAATGTTCTCATCAAAACCAGAACCATTTACTCCATTATCTGTTGCTGTACCACCAGAAACAGAGTCAATAGACTGCTGTTCGGTCAGGATTTCAAAAGAGGAACCATCAGTGTCTTCCCCTCCACTTTTAAAGTTCTGACCTTATACATGTTTCCACGACATTTCTTCTTCATTAAAGGTAACATTGCAGCTAATAATGCAGCGTTCTTCACCGGGTTCCAAAAACCACAGTTTGTATCCTTTCACACCTTTAAGATAACCCACGAGCATACATCTCCTAGCGCGTGGAGCTAATTTATCTTGCTTAACATGAGCATAAGTTGAACAACCGAATACCCTACGATATTTTAAATTGGGTGGCTTACCAATCCAAATCTCTTGAGGAGTTTTCATTTGTAGTGCTGTTGATGGACTTCGATTAATCACATAAACGGCTGTATTAACAGCTTCTCCCTAAAAAGCCTTTGGCAAGCTAGCATTTGACAACAAGCATCTTACATGCTCTAAAATTGTTCGATTAAAACGCTCAGTTAAACCATTCTGCTGAGGGGTGTAAGCTACTGTCAAATATCATTTAATACAAGCCTCGACACACATACGATTGAAATTGTCATTTAGAAATTCTAAACCATTATCAGTCCTTATTACTTTTATTCTCTTTCCAGTTGGTTCTCAAGTAGTGTTTTTCATGGTTGAAACACTCCACAGGCATCACTCTTTTGCTTGAACATATGAACCCAAACTTTACAATAATAATCATCAATCATAGTCAAGAAATAGTTAGCTCCACCATGAGTTGCAACACGTGCTGGACCCTACAAATCAAAGTGAATATAGTCCACTATACCTTGAGTACAGTGTTCTGCTTTATTAAATCTCACTCTTGCTGCTTTACCAAGGACATAGTGATCACAAAATGGCAAGCTGTGTCCCAACTTCTCCTTACCAAATAACCTCTGTTTTTGTAGCTCCAATAAACCTTTCTCACCGACATGAGCCAAGCGTTTATGCCACAAAATAGTTTGTTTCAATTTTGGATAAGTTACTGCATTTACATAATCCATAGTAGTGTACCCTTGTAGGACATAAAGTCCATTTTTCAAGATTCCTTTCAATTTAATCAAGGAACCTTTATATATCTTCATAATACCAGCTTCAGATTTATAGCTGTAACCAACTTTGTCTCATATTAATGCACCCTTGTAGGACATAAAGTCCATTTTTCAAGATTCCTTTCAATTTAATCAAGGAACCTTTATATATCTTGATAATACCAACTTCAAATTTATAGATGTAACCAGCTTTGTCCAATAGGGATATTAAATTTCTCTTGAGTTCAGGAATAAATCTTACTGAAGTGAGTAATTTTTCAGTGTCATCATCCAGCCTTAACCTCACTGAACCAACACCCATGATGGTGCATTTGTGGCCATTACCCATCAACACCGTACCATCACATTCACTAAAATCTTGAAAATATTCTCTATGAGGGCTCATGTGGAAAGAGCATCCAGAGTCCACGATCCACTCTTCACTACATCGATGATCAGATACAGCTAGAACTTCAGCCGAATTATAACCATCATGAATATTTGCAGAACTACTCTCTTCTTTCTTCTCAGAACCATTCTGCTTATTCTTGGCCTTGTGCAAATATCAATTTCGCTTAATATGTCCCTCTTTTGGCAATGAAAGCACCTTTTAACTTTCCCTATTCCTCTTGACTTCGATATGGATTCACCATGCTGTTTGCTATGGTAAGTGTTCTTGTTTTCTGATCTGCCTCTAGTTAATAACACTTCTGCTTCTCTTTTTTCTGATTTAATTTCCAGGTCTTTCGATCTTAAAGAATCTAAGACCAAATCTAGGATTAGAGAATATCTTCCCTATTTAATTCCTGATTTAATTTCTTTGTAACTTTCAGGTAGCGAGTTTAAAAGAATAACCGCCTGCTTTTCATCCGGCATCTTTTCTCTGGTATTTGCCAATTCTATACATATCCTATTAAACTCATCTAGATTTTCATTTAAGCTCTTTGAGCTATCCATCCGATAGCCAAAAAAACTTCTCCTTAAGATGTATTTTGTTTGGCAAAGATTTGCTAATAAACAACTTCTCAAGTTTTTCCCAAAGACTGCCAACCTTCTCTTCCCCATCTACCTACCGAAGTACACTATCTCCTAAGTGTAGGATTATCAAGCTGAATGCAATTTCATCAATCTCGGCTCTTTTTTGCAGTAAGAGTTTCTGGAAGAGTTTCGGGCTTATCCAAAGCCTTAGCTACCTTTGATGAACCAACATAGCACGCATTTTCTTTCTCAATAAATCAGTCTTACCAGTAAATCGTTCTATCTCAAACTTCGTAGTCGTCATAAAAAATATCAAGACACGAACAACACAGAGAAATAGAATAATCTGATTAGTTGTCCTCTGATTTCAGAACAATTACTCTCAGGAAAAGTTCTCTTCAACAAATTTACAGAGATGAAAAATTCGAAAGAAAAATATGCCATCGTTAACTTGAGAAATCTAAAGAAAATTCGCAATCAGCCAAATTGAAAAATCACTCATCAGAAATTCACAGAAGAAGAAAATCAAACCCGCAAGTTCTGATACCGATTGTAAAAATGAACATACCTGGAATTGAAACTGATTACTAAGAACAGAGAAGAAATATAATAATCAGAAGCATCACCAAGGTTAAAGTGGCTCCACCAATTTGGTGTACATCCACTATCCAAAAAGATCTTCAGGCCTTTATTCAAATTGTGTAAGAACACTACATCAAGAATACCCACCATACAAGAATCACACACCCTCACAAATTCGAGAATGCTCCCTCTCTCATTCAACCTTTCACCTCACTCATTCTGTTTTCTCTCAATCCAGATAATTCTAGAAGGTTACAATATTGATACCCATGTAAATACACAAGTAATGGAGAGAAAAATGAGCTGGAGAAGTGAGCTGGAACTCTTACATTATGAATGACCCATGTATTGATGACGTGTCCAATATCCACAGTTATTGACAGGCTGGTGGTTAGATCCATTTGGAGCTTGAGGCACATTGACTGGGTTGAGCTCGCTGCTACAGGTTCCTCAGGTGAGATTATTATTTTATGGAATTAAAATTCGGTGCAAGTGGTTGACTCCTTAATAGGTTCATTCTCTTTTATCTTTTTCTATTATTTTTAAAGAGTGTTTCAGAGGCTGTGTGACTGTCGTTTATGGGCCTTCCTCTTACAGAGGAAGAGATGCCTTTTGAAAAGAGTTGGCGGATCTCAGTGGGATGTGTTCAGACCATTCGTTTGGGGAAGAGGATTTTAATGTGGTTAGAAGAATAGCAGAGAAATCCATTTGAGGCATGCTTACCAAAAGCATGAGGATGTTCAACCGATTGATTGAAGAGCTGATATTCATATGAAAAATGGTCTGTTTACATGGTCAGATTTTATAGATGCCCTTTCTCCTGTCCAAAGCTGGATCGACTCTTTCAAAGAGGTAAAGCTAGTTCGTCTGTCTTGAACAAGTGGAACAAGGAAATGTTTGGCAAAGTAGAGTTGAATCTGAAGATTTTACAGGATGGTATTGATAAAATTGATAGAGTAGAGGAGCAAGGAGGTATGAATGCTATTCTAAATGCTAAGAGATCATATATGAGAGCTTCCCTTTTACATTTAGAACTTCATTTTCCAACATTTACAACATCTCATTGAAGAAGGGGGCATCTATTGCAGATTGTTGGGAGGAGAATACAAGATACCGGGATATAGGCCTTTTTGATTGGGAAATGGAAAGTTAGATGGGTCTAATTCAAGCTTTGGATGTGGTCCAAATCGGCCTTCTTAAAACTTTCTGAGATCTTCCCTAATTTCTCCCATTTTGGAATTTTTAAATTCCCAAGAAAGTTTAAGTTTTCTTGTGGTCCTTGGCTTCTAGGAGCCTAAAATCTCAAGATTCTCTCCAAAAGAAGTACAGGAATTGGCCTCTCTCTCTCTGGATTTGCAGTCCGTGCAATAAGGCTGATGAGTCCACAGACCACCTTTTCATACACTGCCCTTTCCAGCCCATGGTTGGTGTAATAAAAATGTATTATTGCCAGGTCAGCAGTGAAATCAACCCAACATAGTATAAAATTAATATATTTTTACCATCTAATTTAGAATTGCCATATAATCATAGTCAATAAGTATTTAACTGTCACATAAGCATGTTTTTAGGTCAACTAACCGCCAAAGGGTTTCAAGGACCATTTAGAACCATTTCTTAAACGTCAGAAACTAAAAGTGCCCATTTTGAAATTTCATGAACCAAATAGACRCATACTTTAAACCTTAGAAACCAAAAGTGTATTTTTTTTTCAAGATTTAATACTAGTCTCGATTAATAAACATTTTGAACGTTTTCCTACTAATTATTTTGTAGGTAAATATTATCTTGTTGACGCTGGATATCCACAAATAAAAGGATATCTAGGTCCTTATAAAGGTGAAAGATACCATCTTCCTAATTTTCATCGTGGGAGTCGACCAAGAGGTAAAAAGGAAATATTTAACCATAGACATTCATCTTTAAGGTGTACAATTGAGAGGACATTTGGTGTTTGGAAGAATAGACGGTGAATAATACGACATAAGCATTGCTTTCCTTTTGAAAAACAAGTGAAGATTGTTCTTGTATCAATGACAACTTTATAATTTTATAAGAACTCATTCTACAACTGATCTTGAGTTCAAGCCTTATGATGATGATGAAGATTTGCTTCCTTCAAGTGATGAAATAAATGAGTCTAGTGTTACAGAAGAAAGTGAAATTTATGGGCGTGGAAAAGAGATGGAAGATGAGCGGTAGAAAATTGCTAAACTTCTTATATCTCGTTAATGTATTTATTATATAGTCTCTGTTTCGATACTTAATATGTAGTATAAATTTTTATATTTATAGAAACGTTTCTAAATTGAATTAGATATGTAATTCTTGAAATTTTCGTTTGATATATATTAACTATTAACTCACATGGTACTTGTGTTAAAAAAAATGTAAAAGTAAAACAATCGAAAAAATAAAATAATAAAAATAGATAATTTATACAAATAATAAATCAATTGTTATTAATTATAATATATTTAAACATAATTAGTTATATAAATAATTTTTTATTATAGTAAATAGTTAATAATTGTTTAGTTAAATTTCTCAATCATAATACCCTTTTTAGGAATTTAGCATTTGAAGCCAAACATTAATAATTCAAAATCACTTCTAATTATATGAAAATCACCTCTAACTAAACACAAAATTACTGATATTTAAACCACTTTATAAAATCAATTATAGTTAAATCTCTTTTTTCAAAATCGCTATTTCTCACATCATTCTCAAACACACCCTAAATATCAAACCTTTTATTTTAATAGAAAAAAAAAACTAAAAGATATCTAAAAAGGATTGAAGTAAAAAATCTTGTCAAAATAAAACTTAGAAAATCCTAACCATACTTGCAAAGATATTTAATAAAACAGCGCAGTGGTAAAGCATAAAGAAAAGCTTTTCAACTAACAAGCTCTCACTGGGTTCAGGCAAAACAAATTCTAATAGGAAAGTCCAGGATGAGCACAGTTGAAGTAGCATTCCATATGTAACTCTCAAACTCAGACAATTTAGAATGAAAATTTTCCATGTCAAACGACATATCTACGCATGCAATGGACATCAAGGATTTCACTTTCAGAGTCCCATTTTTATGATTGACAGACAGATTGCCAAAAGGGGCACAGCAGCATTCACAAGAAATCGATCCATCGTGGCAATACAATAGCTTAATTGGCCCTGACCATGATATGATCAAATAACCTGAAGCAAAGTATTTCAACGTTTTAGACATACTTATGATATGATACATTGTTTTATTAAACCGCCTGTATTCCCAAGCATGCAGAGCTGGACAGTCGGCTTGCTGGAGTTCCCTCCAAATGGTTCGCCAAAATCCTTTTGGATGTATTTTCAAATCATGCAGCACTCAAACAGTTCTCCCAAGCCCCGTACTTTGAACAAAAGCTTCCACCGCCACTCTGCTGAGCGTACTCAGAAACAACAGCACGTGCACAGACATCCCAAGTTCTTGCTATCTCCCCAAGCGACATTGGCTGTGAAAGGTTTCGCAAGGATATGCTAAATCTTGACTTGGCCTTTATAGAGAGGTCTTCATATTCCTTGCTGCCAAAAATGATGATACTGACAATGATTGACTGATAGGAACACCAAAGAAACTGAATTTTTTTTTTTTTTTATAAGAAACTGAACTTTTGATTGAGAATAATGATAACAAAACAGAAACTCAAGGGCATACAAAAACACAGTCACTGAAGAAGAAAGCCAGACTAGAGAAAGGGCTTCCAATCCAAAGTCCCTGAAGAAGAAAGCCAGACTAGAGAAAGGGCTTCCAATCCAAAAGAATATGATCTAACTGATAATTACAAAATAACTTCGAAACAGACCCATGAAGAAAAATTAAACCTTAAGAGATCCCAAACAGACTCCCACTCTCTTTCCACCCCTAAAAATTTTATTGTTTCTTTCCAACCAAATCCCCCACATAATCCCAAAGAACCCCGCCTGATCAAACTAAACCTAGAGATCGATAAACCACTTCATGAGAGAAGGTGGACAATCGCTTGGAAAAATTGTCATAATACCTTTGAAGAATCAGTATGCATTCTAATGGTCTACCCAGCATATGCTTTCATCAAATCATAGACAAGTTGAGGATGCATGAATACCTAAGCACTACTTGAGAAGTATTAACCTAATTGAATAGAACTTTGGTCCTATAACCAAGGATGATTTCTAGGTTTTTTGAAGTTCAAAGCTGCTAATGGGCATCATATCCATTTCTGGGAGGATGCCTGGGAAACGGAGGCACCTTTCTCATCAATGTTCCCCAACTTTTATGTCTTATCAGCTAAGAAAGAGGCGCTTGTAGCAGAATGTTGGAAGGGTGAGAATCAGACCTGGGATATGGGGATTAGAAGAAGATTTCTTGACAAAGAACTGTCTAGGTGGGCAGAATTTACGGAAAATCTGGATGCTATCTAAATCGTCAATGACAAAGACAGATTATGGTGGAAGTTAGACCCAAGTGGTCTTTTCTCAGCAGAATCAGCCTTTATACACCTCACTGAACCTAAAGCCAAGATGAATTCCCCCAGCGGACTACATTGGAAAATTGGTCCCTTCTCAATAGAAACCTTAATACTGCAGATATGTAACAAAGGAAATTCCCAAGCTGGGCTCCCTCCATCTCCCTCCATCCGTTGCTTTAACTACAAGGAGAATGAGATCCTTAATCATATTTTTCTCCATTGCCCTTTTGCTCAAACAGCCTGGTCCTTCCTTCTGTCTGAGTTTATTATGGCCATTTGTCTCCTTCATTGGGTGCATTCTTGACTTTTGGAAAGCCCATGAGGAAGGTCTATTAAAGGAAAAGGTAAAATTCTGTGTAACTACACAGTGACCTACTCTATTGTTTATGTAGAAAGAAAGATCAAAGGATTTTCGAATATAGATGACCTTAGTGGATTCTTTTTGTCATGGTGTGCAGCATACAACTATGTGGTGCTCAAACCACAAGAAATTCTTTTATAATTAGTCTCCTACTACGAAGGCTTTGATTGTGTAGTTTTTTTGGCGGGTGTTGTCTGCTCCCTTTCTTGTTTCACACATATTGAGTGTTATTATATATATTAAAAAATAATAATAAATAAATAAATAATCAAGGATGATTTCTAAAATTTATACTATTATATTAAAGATACGAAGTCTAACCTAGTTTAGAATTTAAAACAGTAAATAAGTTCTCCATTCTGTATAGTTTTATGAAATAATTTTTTATTTGGTGCAAATAACCTGCTGCATACATATATTGTTGTTTATTTGTTTTGGTGGCAAGGGAGAGGGGTTTGTGGAAGATAAAGCTGGATTTGTTAAGAAAGAAAAACAGCTGACAAACAAAACCCAGAACCCATGTAGACTTACCTGACTTCAACAGGAAACTTGTCTAAGAGTATCGGGGAACAATTTGGATAGTTTGTAGGAACAAGCAACCGTAAAGGCTGAATTGGAGACTGCAAAGCAATAATGCATGTGTCAGAGAAGTGATAATTATACAGCAACGAAGAACCCATTATGTAAGAAATATGGAACCCATTATGTAAGAAATATGCTCACCATTTGTGCAGAAGCGTACTGGGATTTTAAGTTGGGACTGAGAGCCACAGCACTAAAAGAACACTTGACAATTGTTCCTTCACTACCATCAGCAGCAGCCACTAAAGCACTTGGATCAACAACCTCATCACTGATAACGACCACCGTGTCGATGAGACGTTGGTTTATTTCCCTTATTTCTTCCAGAAGAACATGATTGGCCTGCAACAAGTACATATACATATATTAAAAATAGTAAAGCAAGTGCAATGAAACTAAAGTGGACCAATATAAGTTCAAAACTAACAAGATTGAGTTGATAGTCTAACGGAAAGATTCATGAGAAAATTACAAGCCCAAAGAATACTTTAAATGTTAAACAAGCAAGAACTTCTAATCGTACTGTCCAATATGATAGTTGCTTTATCTGGCTGTTATACATCATCGATTTGTTGCTTTCTTCCTTCCCCCTCTCTCAAAAATTTCATATTTGTTGTTTTGTTGCTTTCTTATTCAAACATCTTTTGCACGAATGTACTTCATCAAGCTAATAGTAATAGCACTATCACTCTCTATGATCCACGTAAACTATAGATTGGCCAACATGATCATGAGAGCATGTCGGACACTTAAAACTATATTGTTAGACCTTTAATACTTAACTTTTACTTTCTGCTGCGATAGGAACATATTTAGACATGCAAGCACTATTAAATAAGAGAAATAATAAAATATTAGAATGAGAAACATTTACTTTTTCAAATGCATAGCCGTAAGGGAAGTATTTGATATTATTTTTTTCTCCATCTCCAAAACCTTGACCTTGGACTTTCAAAAATCAAAAAACAGATAAAAAGGGAACAAATTGAAACTTTGAATGGAGTGACTAAAATAGTGCTGATAATTTCAACTCATTGTACACGGCAAAACTAAAAACTGTATCATATTGATGCAACTTGGACGCACAAAGAACCTCAATTAAAGCACACCTTAACGCGACAAGCTGCCTCAAGGCAAGAGGCGACAAAAGGCATCTCCTGGTTGAAGCGAGGTGTACTTGATAAAATAATAAGATAATACTAAGTATATCTGTGTAAAGTGCTCTAAATGCAGGTTTGTATAATTGTATTTATTGGAGCAGAAATACTACCATTAGGCAGTTTATTGGAGCAGAAATACTACCATTAGGCGGTTTGTCTTCCATGCAGCTAGCATTCCATGAATGCTGGTGGCTACTACTTTAATTCTCCTAGGAAATGTAAGAATGAAAGAGTGAAGCTTTCATCTGACTTTTTTTCTTATTCTTTTCTGATTCCTACCCTTCTCCTCCTCCTTACTCTTCTTCTTCATCAAACCCTTATTTCTTCTTCTTACCACTGACTAGCACTTCTTAGTTCTGCACTTCTGCTAGGAATGTGAAAAAATAAAAGGAGACGTTTTATAGATACCACACTCAAGGAATGGCTTCCTCAATTATTGTTCTTAGGCACTTGTTTTCCAATGCTTCTTCTTTGATTTTTCATTTTTCCTCTTTGGTTTTTTTTTTCCTAGTTAGAAGAAAGAAACTTTACTAAAAAACTCAAGAAGCTACACCCAGAGGGCAGGGGTTGAGCTAACCCCCTAGGGAAGCAACAGAGCACAAAAGAACAGAAGAACAAGAAAAGGCCACCTAACAAAGTTCAGAAGAAACTCGGAAGAAAGCCTTCCAATTTCTAATTATCATGGATAGGCTATAATTACAAAAGAAATATTGGTGGTTTGCACTCCACCAAGAAGCCAAGTGTTGTATACTATTGACAAAAAAATCAGTAGGATGAGGATCCTTTTTTCCTTCAAAAACGAAGTAATTCCTTTCTTTTCAAATGCTCCAAAAGGTAGCACTTAAGCCACACACCAAAGAATCCTAGGTTTTCTGTTGAAACTCAGCCCCTGCAGCCCCTCCAATAGCCAATCTTCTACTCTGTTGTGAAGACAAATTGACTCTTTGGTCTTCAATTCTTCTTCGAAAAATCAACAAATGGAAGAATAATTGAAGAGGAACTGCTTTCCTTCACAAAGGCGAGTGCCTGTGTCACCTTGAACACACATTCACGGTGACTGGAAGGTGCATATAAGCGAGCACCTTATTGAAGGTGCTCCGCATAGGTACTTGCATGGCAAGAAGAAGGCCTTGTCTCGTCTGGCCTCTCGCGATAGGTGAGCACCGGGCTGCAGCACTGATTGCTACCTATCTTAGAAAATTTCAATATAGCAGTTCAGTCCGGATAATTTTATCCAAGATATCAGGATTTAATCCTAAGGCAAGTAAAAACATATGTAAGCAAACAAAAAAATTGGTTTATCTATGACATTGAAAGCATGTCAAACACAACTCACCAGCATGATGTCTATATAATTTAGACAAAAGGTGTACAAAGATGGGGAAGGAGTTGGAAAATCATTAAGGTCTAAATCTAGAAATGGATAACAAAAGCTAATGAATCAAAGATTTTGATTGTTATCTCATAAAATATTTTCTCAATTTAGAGTGACTGAAACAATACATTGTTCAACTGTTCTATCAAATGTATATTCACCGGGAACACAACTTAAAAAAAATGAGAACTATATCATGCTAAAAGATGAAGCATATGTGCGATATCTAAATGCAAATCTAATTACTAACAATGATTTCTACTTATAAGTTCTTCAACTTTTTTTTGCTTTTCATTGATGGATGAAAAGGAACAAAAAATTTTCAAAAATACAAACTCCAAAGGAGTGAGAAAGACATAAAACTGTAAATATAAATAAAAGTAAAGCAAAACGAAAGAACTAGAAATATAGCACATTTATTGAAGTTCTTCAACTTGTAGTGCCTTTTAACAATGTTCATTCAAACTACACATTTATTTAGAGAATTGTAATGGGTGGCAAATAGTTTTGCCATATTTACAGATATAGCAGAAATAATAAGAGTTTGCAAATAGCACCCTCAGGTGTTGGTACGGTGGCAAGAGGCTTGGATGTTGATATCCACGATCCAAGTTCGAGTCCTTATATGTCTAGAAATAAATAAGAGTTTGCAAATATGGCAACTTGTAGGTTAGGAGTCTATCTCTAATTGGCTCTATCACACATCTATTAGTGATAGACACCTATTATTGTTAGATTTTGCTATGCGTGCAATGCAACTACCCCAATTTATTTAACCCTCATAGAACATACAATACATAAAATTTGTTATTACCTCAACCCTAGGCCTCTTGACACTTGATGTTGCAGTAGATTCAAGATCAGATGTCTCTGCACCAGTCAACGGTTTAAAAACATCATTTACGCTTCCAGCTGATGATACAACATTTAAGGGCATTGCACTTGTATAGCGCCTCATTTTTTTCGTTCCATTTAGCCCATCATGTGAAACAAAATTTCTTGCTTGTAGTCGACATTTTGTCATCGCAACCAGATCCTCCCCAACTGCAGCCCTCGATCCATTGCCAGGGGCCGAGCCTGCTATCCTATCAATCATACTGACAACTGATCCTATGCCACTGACAGAGGCACTCAAAGCTTTAGGTGACATTGATTTAACCTGAAAACAATAATAAGGTAACAACTAACAACCATAGAAACAATCAAGAAGAGAGTCAATGATTTAAGCTGGATTCAACAAATAGAAGCACATAAGCTTTTGACTAACCGCTTTAATTAAGCGTTCAAGAGGCTGCTCTGTAACATTTGATTTGCCAGAAACAGTTGGTAATGCATTGACATAAGAACCATCTGTACCACTAAACTCAGCAAGCAATGGTGAGGCAGATATCCCAGGGGTGCCAATGGCAAGAGATTGGGCTTGTGTCCCGGACACACTTGTTTGTTGTCCAGTATTTCCAGCATTTGTAAGTGATGAGACAGCAGACATGGGCTTTTCAGAATCACCAGGAATTGGAGATGGAGCCACAGGCGAAGTTGAAGGAGATGGAACAACAAAGGGGGAGCTTGCCGATTGCAAAGGTGTCCCAGTTTTGGTAATTGATGAAAGCAGGCTTTGTTGGTCAACCTGTGGAGAAGAATTTTGGGCAACTTGAGGGGATGCAGCCTGAAAGATCGGAGGTGAAATTGGAAATGAAGTTCCTGGTTTCAACTGCGGATGGGAATAAGCTGAGCGCTGAGTTGCTGGGAGATGTTGAAACATCCCTGGCTTCACAGCAAGCCCCTGTCTCATCTTCAGATCATTTATCTCATTGATTGGATTAAGGTGTGACATTTGGTGCGCCTGCATTTGCATTTGTGTGGGTAATTGCTGCTTTCCTTGCTGATGCAGCTGTGACTGTTGCTGATGTGATTGTGGTTGTTGCTGTTGTTGCTGATGCTGCTGCAACATCTGCTGCTTCAGTTGATGAATATGTCTCTGCTGCAATTGTTGTTTCAGCTGTTGCGGCGATTGCATCAACTGCTGTGGATCCTGTTGTTTCAGATGTTGATGTTGAAGCATATTAGGATTTGACTGAAGAGCACTGATATTTTGCTGCAGAGGGTTCACCCCATTTTGTGATGACAAAGAACTACTGTTTGCCCGTTGGGAAGTGTTTGCAGGATTCTGTTGCAAAGACCCAGCAGCAACCTGCTGCAACGAGCTCAGTGAATTTCCTTGTCCTGATTCCAAACCAGAACCAGGCTGCATTGGGCTCGTCATGTTTTGTTGTGCTGCTGATCCTGAAAAAGATGAAAGGGAATTGTGTTGCATATTGTTCATATTGTTCTGCTGCACCGGAGCCACAGAACATTGCATGTTTGCAGAATGAAGTTGGGAATTGATTTGATTTTCAGGAGACTGTAGTGAAGTCATCTGTGACTGTGACTGCTGTATCGAGTGCATGTGAGAGGCAGGAAGCTGTCCTGGCTGCAGTGTAGATACGGGATTCCTTGGCCTATTGGAATTCAAAAAACTAACAATCTGCTTCTCGTAATGGCCTATCTTATCTTTAAATCCAAGTACGATATTACTTTTTGGAACCTGTAAGAATGCTAAAAGGCGTTCCAAAATTGACTTAAATGCCTTGAGCTTATTTAGTTGCTCTAACTTTGGTTGTTGTGGAAGGCTGTCAAACTGGTCAATAAAATATCAAAGTAAAATATCAGTTGATACAAACAAGAGAAATTCAAAAACCAAAAATGTGAATGGAGGGGAGGGTATTTAACAGCCAAAGTAGAAAAAAGATTAGCACTGCTCGTATGAACAAAAGGTGATAGTTCAATGTATTCACTCCTCAATGAGGATTCAGCTGCTACCACAATTAATAATATCAAAAAGTCAAAGCCCAAGGATATAGATGGAGAATCACATACCTGATTCAATTTTGGAAGAATTTTCTGGTACATTTCTTTCAATTCAAAAAAGTACAACTCCTTCATAGCTTTGATCTAAAAAAACAAAATTAACAGTTAAACAAATTCCACGAAGGAAAAAATATTTACAAAAGGAAGTAGAACAAAGAATCCCACTTGACAAAAGAAAAACATAGAAGATGAATCCCATGTTAAAGTGCCTTATCGGTAGATGCTATCTTCCAATTAGTCAAAATGGGAGCCACCCTCAAAGATCAGACCTTTTTTACAAAAGATGCCTAAGGAACTTGCTAAAGTAATAATAGGGAAGTATTGGGCCTGTTATCCTGTAATTACTTGGAAAGTTGGTTAGAGTTATGGTTTTAAATAGAGTGAGTTAGCAAGATTCATAGGTAGACAAAATTTGGAATTTATTTTAGGAAAATCCAGACCTCTCGAATTGCTTGAGTATTGTAATTTTTCCTTTATATTTCAATACGATTTTCTATCAATTTCTATTACAATTTTTGGTTCCTTTCAGAACTCAATCGTTTAACACTCTCTTGACTGCCTTAAACACAAAGAAGTAATTAGAAAAGTTAGAGAGTACCAAATAAGTTAGAGAGTAATTAGGAAAGGTAGAGAGTACCAAAGTGATTAAGAACTATTTTTGCACCGTTAATATAAAAACAAATTGGGTTTCAATGGGCAGCTTCATGGTGAAATTCTGTCACAATAAAGAATAATAAAACCAACATTAAGAATTTTTACCTCTTACAATGTTGCCAATTGAAGTTCACTTTACCCTGCCCTTGAGTTGTTCAATTTTTTTTTTTTTATTGAATGAAGCTCTTGTTCCTTATCTAAAAAATACAATGTTGCATATTGAATGAACTTTCTTTTGAATCTAAAAAAAGTAAGTCAAACTTCATTGAAGAGACATGAAGTGTGTGCTGCGAGAACTCTTCTATGGCTCCTTTGGAAAGAGAGGAATAGGAGACTTTTAGAGGAGAATGCAGCCTCTTTTGATTCTTTTTGTGTAAATATAAAGCATACAGCTTCTTGGTGGGCTTCAATCCATAAGAGCGTTTTTTGTAACTACAGTTTCTAATTTATTCTACAAGTTTCTTTTTGATTCTACAGAATTGGAACTCTGTGTGTATAGATCCTTAGGGAGGGTTCCCTCTACCCTCCGCCACTAGGCTGTTTTTGCCTACTTTTTGGGATCCCGTTTGTTTTGAATACATTTCCTCAGTTTCTTATAAAGAAAAAAACATGAAGTGTTGGCTTAGTACCTTCTGATAAATCTCCTCTTGCCAATCACCAGCATTGGCTTGTCCTGTCTGAGCGGTGGAATCTAACGATGCTACATAAATGAAATAAAGGTCAGAGGATAGAGAAAATGTGTGCCTAGGAAATATAAGTGAACTACAAGATAGAGATAGTGCGCCTCCCTTTTTAATAGGAAAATCAACCTTCATTAAGAACAATAAAATGGTGCTCTCCCCCATTTATATTCAAATTATTCTCCTTGTATAATTTGTTCTAATCGGGAAGCTTTTATCTTTGCTTTTTAGTCATCTTCGATTAATTGTACTTTTATTTATGCTCTAATTTTCTTTCCCCTAAACTCCCACCTTGAGAGTTGGGAGTTTGTATCTTTGAACCATTCTAGTTCATTTTCATACCTCAATAAAAAGTTTGTTTCTTGTTAAAAAAAATATATGAAATTTAAGAAAATGGAAGTCAGAATTAGTTTTAAGAATAAAAAGTTTTTAGATAAGAGACCATTTGATTGATATCAAGGATATTACAAAAGGTAAAGCTTCACGAATAAAATTGAGTGTTATTAACATTGCAATTGTGAAAAGACTTTTTCATTCAATTTTCAAGAAACTCCATTTCTCCAAATCTCAAATTGAGTCTATGTTACTGTTCTTTCCTCCTGGCCTCTCCCTTTCTCATTTCCAACACGTCATATTTTCAACAAGATCACCAGTATTTTAGCTATCATTGATAATATCTTAAATTCATTCAATAGTGATTGGTAGGGCTCTAAACTTAAAACAAAGCAAGAATACATACTTGATGACGTCTCTGGAAGAGCCCTTTGCGAATGATACACCTGCTTTTGCTGATCCATTACGTTTTGCGGTTGAAGCAAGGAGCCTGGTGCTTGGCCTGAAACTTGAAGCCTTTGTTGGAGCTCATGCGACATGACATTTGGCGGCTGCTGCTGCTGCTGCAAAGGAACCTGTTGTTGGACCTGGGTAGACTGTAATGGAATCTGTGACATCAACTGTTGGGATGGCTGAAGTTGTCCTTGTTGACCTTGCGTTGACAATAAATTTGATGTATTGGGCGGAGGTTGTTGCTGCATTTGAACCTTGTTCTGATGCAGCATATGTACAGAGTGCTGATTTGTTTGCATGTTTGAGTTACCTGACTGAGTTCCATGAATTTGTTGTTGTAATCCAGAAACATTACTTTGAGGTCCTAACTGCTGCTGCTGCTGCTGCTGCAAATTTGATAGGTTGTTTTGCTGAGTCATCAACTGCTGCTGCTGTTGTGATGGCGGAGACTGCATGTTTGATAGATTGCTCTGCTGCCCATGCGACCTTGATTGCTGAGGCAGCTGCTGCTGCATGTCCCCAAGGCTGCTTTGCTGCCCAATTAATGAATTCTGCTGCATATTTGAAGAATTTGGTTGTTGACTAATTAGCTGTTGTTGCTGCTGTGAAGGCAGCATTGTCTGCTGTGGCATTGTAGGCTGCTGATGCATGGCAGCATGTGGTTGGGACTGCTGCTGCTGCCTAAGAACTGGCTGTGAAGGTTGCTGAAGCATGGATTGAGTGGGCTGTTGAATGGGAGATTGCTGGCTTTGCTGCAGATTAGAGAGCGAAGGTTGCATCACAGAAGGTTGCATAACAGATGAAGTTTGTAAAACAGATTGCTGAGACGATTGCAGTTGATTGGGTTGTATTAGATTCTGTTGCTGTTGCGACATGTGAGGTTGCATAAGTTGGTGTGACATACTCCCCTGCTGATACTTCTGCTTGATAAGCTGCTGCTGTAACTGATGCTGATAAAGATACTGCTGCTGGCTTTGGGACTGCTGCTGTTGCTGTTGGGAAACTACTTGTCTTCCTTGTATTGGCCTCTGAGAGTTGGGAAATACATTGGAAGGAACCCCTTGACCCACAGTATTTCCAACATTCTGTGAAACTCCAGATACACTTTGCATGCTTGAACTCTGGCCAACCATAGTTGGCATTGAAGATGGGGCCAATCCAGTGACAGGAGGAACTGCAGAAGGTAAGCTGGATGAACTCTGAGGAGCAATAGTATTTTGGATGTTCTGGGAGAGTAATTGCTGGCGTGATTGAGGCTGATTGGAAGACAGTGGGACAGTTGATTGATTTATAGCTTGAGACGGCATGCTCTGTGAAGCTGTTTAAGATAAAATATACAGTATCAAATCAAGTAAGATTAATAAAATGCCATAAATTAAGTGAGAGATTATTACAATGTTCAAGAACTGAGAAGTCAAAAACTCTAATAACAAGAAAGTCATTCACAATTGGCTTAGATTGTCTGTTGACGACATACCTGTATCCAGAGGCTTGTTGCTAGGCACCATAGAATTGGATGGTAATGGATTTCCCATAGAGCTCTGAGACTTAGTTTCCATGGTAAGCATCTTCAAAGATATTTTCCTCAGGTAATCTGACTGCAACCAGAGGTGAAAAATGGAATTGGTAGAATACTCAAGAGAGCACTAAAGGAACGTCGTGTTTAGTGCAGAATAAATAACATAATAAAACAGGATTTTCTAAAGATAATATAAGTCTACATGTACAAGTCATTGTAGGAGAACCATGCTTCAGTACACAACTAAAACTTAGGTACAAAATCAAATTAGAATCTTATTGTTGTTAGGAAACGAACTAAAATAAATTTGAACATGTTAAACACATGTAATTGTTATATTTCTTGATCTAAACTATAAGAAAGTGTGCAGGGAATACCTGACTGGTGGCGGCAGTATAAATCTTTTCCTCAAACCTTACAGCAATTTTCCTCAGCTCACTCAATCCCTCATTACCAGAAACAGGAAGGTGCCTCTTCAAAGTCTCCATTCTAACATAATAATGGAAAACATAATGGCTAACTAGTTATGAAACACAAAAGCATGGGAATCTGTTCACGGAAGGAAAACCACAGTAGTAATCCATGTCTATGATTCAAAAGATTAGATAAAAAATTCAACAACATCCACAATGCGTCCAATATCTTATGCTTCTGATCTTTAAAGAAGAGGTATGATTATATCTCCAAGAGGTTATGAGTATATATCGTCAAATTAATGGGGATGATTGAAGCAAACTAGGATCTGGGAACAGCTCCCATCTATTGGGAATACATAAAATCTCAGAAAAGGTTCGGAAGAAAATACAAAATCGATAATAGTTCTATATTTCGAAAGTTCTGCTGTGCATTGTTTAATCCACACAACCATCCGAAAGTGACTAAACCTGAGCTACGAACTATGAAACATAAAGTTAGAAGAGCCCAAACACATTTCTCAAATAAGATATAATGGTCGAGCAAGAAAGAAAGCATACATCTTGTTGACAATTCGCTGTCGAGAATCGTTCTGCAATTGAGACCTCCAATCCCCAGAGTCCAAAGGGGGTTCGCCACCTTGGGGAGGTCTCCAATTACTTGTATCCATTCAAAAGTTTCGAAACAACCTACGAGAAAATATTGTATCAAAACCCCAACAACAGCGCAAAAAGAACTTGTGAAAAGAGTCCTTCAAGGATGGAAAGGAAGGCTGTTTTCTGAGGAGGGAAATCAAAGTCTAGTTAAATAGTCCCCAACGCTGTGAACGCTGTTTCAACTTACAACACCAAATGTKCTAAAGATTCAAACCAACGAAGCCCCAAATACTTACAACTCGAATACTGATAAAGCCGTGAAGGACAATTTTCTGGGAGTAGGCCTGAATTCAGCGGCGGAGACGGGAATCGGCCCAGTGTGGGCAGAAATCGATTTCGCTAATTGTTTGGAAGCTGATTACAGAGAAATAAGAGTCCGATTCAGAAATCCATCCGGTTATTGGGAAAATTGAGGAGATTGCAAAAACAGAATAACGATCAAAGGGTTCTTACTTGAAGGGAAAGGCCGCAGACGATCTAGGCAGCCAGGCAAGAAGACGGTGAGCGAATTCTGGCCTTTCCTTGCTTGGAAGTCGAAGACAGAGCCAGAAACGACCTCTTTTCGAGTCTTCTTCTTCAACAGCCCTTTTAAATTTTAACATGTTTTCCTTATCATCGTGGAAATTACTTTGCTTTTTTCCTCCTTTTTCTTTTTCTTTTTCTTTTAAATGATAAAATAACTTATCTTTCAAATATGTCATTACATCACTTTTACATTGAATAAGTATATAAAATATTCCATATTTTTTTCATTTTTTGGAATATTTGGAACATAGGTACGACATCTTAAACTTAGAGTTAGGAATTATTTTTCAGGAGGTTTAAGAAAATTGTGATTTCGCTAAATTTTGGAAGTCGGATAATGTAAAGTATAGTGAAATAAATTACTTTTTCTTCCAACATTTATTTAAATGATATGTTTAATTTAGTTAATCCCCACAAAAGTTTTTTTTTTCTTTTTTTTTTTTACAAATATCAAAGATAAGCGGATCATTAAAAAAATATTGCTTTAAAATTATCTATTTAAGATAATAGATATTATTTATAATAATTTCTTCCAAATATTAAAAGTAAACTGAGATATTATATAATTTTATTGATTTTATTTTATACGTACATGTAATATATATACTTAATTGCATAAAATTGTTTTATTAGTTAGTGAGTACATTAATTTATCTAAATTATAAAATTACAAATAAAAGCAAATAAATTTGATAAAAGAAAATATAATAATAAAATAATGAAGGGCCAACAATGTCAATATAGGATGCTCTCTGCATGAGAATCATGGAAACTCATGTTTCAAAAGGTATCCAAAACAACTTGGATGCTTTTCGTGTGGGCTTCCTAAGATACCCGAGTATCTTGAGATACCCAAGTATCTTACATCCTCGCAAAACAAACGTGGAAATCCAAATGACCGTCTCATGGGAATCTTCGTTAAATGATTTTAAGCTTTCCTAAAATCAATTTTAAATTTTCCAAACAAGATCATTGGAAAGAAAAGTGGTTCTGACAATGGCAAAAGTGATTGACCATACTAAAATCACTCCCAATCAGACCCTTACACTTTTGTCAATAAATAGCTTGTTTAGAAGGAAGCTAATATGTAAATTACCAATTTGACTATGGTAATGTATTTTTTAAAGGAAAAACTTGGCTCTTAAGATTAAAGACCACAACAGTTATGATTATAATATGACCCAATAATAAATTGACATGTGTTGACTTTGAGAATTTTTTATTATTTTATTAAAATTCATATCTCGTCAACATCTCTTCAATATATCTTGTACTTTCTTCAAAACCCATTTTACGTTTCTCTTCCCCTATGCTCTCTCCCTACATTCTCTCACTTTTCTCTTTTTTCTTTCTTCTGGAACACATCTCCTTCACTTTTAAAGTAAATACTACATATATTTTCAACTGTTTGATGAAATTGGGAGACCCATAGAAACAATGTGAGAAACACAACTTTCTAATAATTGATAATATAAAGAATGACTGATTCTAAACAAGTGAGTTGGTTTTTTAGTTCTCTTTATTTCGTGGAAGGGAGAAAAAAACGATATTTGGTTAAGCGTGGAAAGAGTATATTCTTAAAAAAATGATATTCGGAAAAAAAAAATATTTGTAGCAAATAGAAATATAAACTGGAATGAGTAATTTTACCGAGTTCTCCCACATGAAATCACTCCAATTTTTTATTCTAATAATTATGTGATGGGTGAGATATTTAACGTATCTTTTATTTGTATTTTTGATATTCTTAATGCACGCTTAGAGTAATATCTTTCGTCATTATGGATTTCGACCTTGTTTATACTATAATAGCGAGAATAGTGTACTTGCACTTGCATTCGCATCAGTTGCGGACATGCAACATGCATATTTAGTTCATTTTAGGCATGTTTTTGCTTCATTAATGTCCCAAACTAAAATTATGCACGTTTTAGCTACCTCGACGCTCAAAGTACTAATTTAGGATGTTTTGTAACTGGAGTAGACATGTTTCTGTGGTTATCTTGCAGTTACGGTAGCTACGTAGGGTACATTAAGTTGTTATGCATATTTATTCTTGTTTTGGGAAGATAATTGTATTTGGTTCATGGCTATGTAGAAATAGAAATTATGGTTGCCACTCAGGGGATGTGTTATAAAGTATTGAGTTCATTTTGATATCTTAGGAAGCCTTTTGGGTAGGTTAAGTTCAAGGTCGGTGAGTTTATGTTTTTTGGGTTCATTCTAGTAGCTTAAGAACAATTTTAGCTATGTTTAGCAAGGTAAGAACTATTTAGCTAGTGTGTGAGTTGGTTGTTTTTAGTTCATTTTAGTACCTTAAGAAACCATTTTAGCTTGCTTGAGGTCAAGGGATGTAAGTTGCTTTTTTAAGTTCATTTTTCCGGTTGAGGCACCATTCTAATTAGGTTGAGTTCAAGAGGAGTGACTTATATAAGTTACATTCATTTTGGCCACTTAGGCACCATTTTTGCTAGGTTGAGTCAAGGGGGTGGTTGAGTGGTATTGGATTGTTTTGGCCAGTCAAAGAACCATTCTAGCTTCTTTGAGCTTAAGAGAGGTGATTTGTGTGTTTTATGAATAATTATGCATTGAAGGTCAATTTCTTCAACAAATTGCGCATCTAATTATTAAACATATTTTATTTCTATTTAAGTAGCTTTCCTTATATCAAAAGCTCCGGACATATATCCCAACATTTCCGACATTTCACGTCCTTCTCCTACCATTTCAGAGTGGTCTAGGGGTGTTTGTAGTACGCCTCTGACACCGTGCTAGACGCTCCATTGGGTGGTTTGTTGATGCTTCAAATAACATCGAGGCATCCGTATGATGCATAACCTTTCCTTTTTGGTACGCTCGACATTAGTCTTGTGCACTCTGCATGCCTTCTTGCGGGTCAATCAAGTTCCACGTTTTGGCAAGGGGCTTCCATACGACACCTCAAATTTACCCTGAGATTTTTTAGATTTGAATTTTTAGAATGGTTAGAAAAAACTGAATTGGATAAATAAAAATTTGAATGCACTGATAATTATTGTTAATTGAAAGCAATACAAATGAGGTAGAATAAGAATAATTTTAGTTTTTATAAAGTTACTCCATGGAAATTTAAAGAATTTGGAATACCAAACGTTTTAATTTTTTAATTTCATATATATTTGTCAATTATCAATATATTTATAATGTATTAAGCAAGCATTTTACACAAGGAAGAAAAGGGTGGAAAAAATAATTTAAAAAAACACTTGAATTAGCAAAAAAAAAGAAAGTAAATTGAAGTTAAGGGGTTGGAAAGCTAAAACGCTAAAAAAAGATATTGCCAAAGACATTGTAAAAAGTAATTGTGATTGCGAGTTAAATAGTAGATAAAGATATAATGAATCAAAGTTACCTCTCAACCACGTTAATTATAAGTTATATAAACTTATTTAACTTAACCTTTTTTTATCATTTCTTAAATTACATTTCAAATTGAAAAAAATGAAATAAAAATACTTCAAGATATAAACATACATTACCAAACACAAGAACTTACTTTTCCTTATCATTTATTATCTACATAACTTCCTCCAAAAAAATGCCTTAAATTTTAAAGCTCTAAATGGGAAGCTCTTTATTTTGACAACTATGACTAAATTACCTTAACAAATACTAATTATTAAAGTTTATTGAAAAATCACTCAATAAATACCAAATAGTTAATTTCTTGTAAATATAAACATAGCATTTAAAACATACTCAAGTTTTAAAAAATAAAATTAATTTTAATATATGATAACATAAACGGAGAATATCACGTATATGAGATTAGTTATATTTAAAAGGGGTTTAAGATAAGAAAATTTTTATTTCTTGTTTTGTCCTTTAATGATTTTAAATAAAATTTGTTAATTTTTACCATAGTAAACTAAATTAAAACTTTTACAACTTTGATAATCAAATAAAATGAGCTTGATTGGAACTTTTAAAAGAACTTAAAAGCTTAAACGGCAGGGACTAAATTGGTAATATATTTTGGTAATTAATTAAAAAAAATCTTCAATGTAATTATTAACAAATTAAATAATTAGAAAATATTGCTGTATTTTGTAAATATAAACATAGAATTTAAAACATACTCAACTTTTAAAAAATAAAAATAATTTTAATATATGATAAAAATAAAAGGAGAATATCACACCCGTTAAAAAGATTAGTTATATTTAAAAGGGGTTTTAAGATAAGAAAATTTTCATTTCTCCTTTTGTCCTTTAACAATTTTAAAGAAACTTTGTAAAATTTTATCATAGTAAACTAAATTAAAACTTTTACAAAATTAAATAAAATCATAGGACCTTGATGGTAACTTTTAAAAGAAACTTAAAGCTTAAATTTTAGAGACTAAATTGGAAATGTATTTTGACATTAATTAAAACAAAAATCTTCAATGTAATTATTAGCAAATTCAATAATTACAAAATATTATTGGGTTTTAAAAGAAACTTGAAAGCTTAAACTTTAGAGACTAAATTGGTAATATATTTTGACAAAAACTAAAACAAAAATCTTCAATGTAATTATTAGCAAATTTCAATAATTACAAAAATATAATTGAGTGAGGGAGGCTCAAACTCTTGACCTGACCTTAGAGTAACTCTGAGCTATGAGACCTATGTAGTATCCAACTACGCCGCCACCACCCCCATTTGAAGACTAGTCAAACAATGTACTAATTATTTGCTTTACAGTGAGAAATAGAAATTATAAAGAGAAATTTATAGGTGGTTTGCTCAGAGGATGTGAGCTAGTTAAAGGCTGCATAAGACGTCTTGAGGTTCTTCTGACTTTTCTCCAGTTCCCCCTCCGTTAGCTAGATGGTACTTTGTTCGAGGGAGAGATTGTTGGGAATATGACCAAAGTTCTACATTGGCTAGGGAAGACAAAGGTTCATAGTATAAAAGTAAAGGACAATATATCTCCATTGATATGATAATTATCATACTCATGCCCCTAATTGGCATAATCGAGGAATATCTGCCTCGAAACCTTGCCATGGTTATAAGAGATTACATAAAGATTAAAAAAAAAAAAGAGAAGC